AGATATCCTTCAGTAGATGAACAGATAAACAAACTGTGGTCACCCAATGGGACATTACTCAGTGTTAAAAACATATGAGCTATCAAGTCATGAATAGACATGGATATTAAATGCATGTTACTAAGTGAAAGAAGCCAGTTCAAAAAGACTACATACTATATGGTTCCAATTACATGACATTTTGAAAAAGGAAAAACTATGGCGTAGACAACATAAAGATCAGTGGTTGCCAAGAGCTGGAGGAGGTGGGTGGGAAGGGATAAATAAACAGAGCACAGAGGATATTTAGAGCAGTGAAAATACTCTGTGTGATACTCTAACAATGGATTTGGGTCATTTTGCATTTGTTCAAACCCGTAGAATGTACAACACCAAAAGTGAACCCTAGTATAAGCTATGAACTCTGGATGGTGGTGATGCGTCAGTGTAGGTTCATTAATTGTAACAAATACACTCCTGTAGTGGGGGGTGTTGATAATAGGGGAGGCAGTGCAGGTGTGGGGGGTGGGAGAAATGAGGTATTTCTGTACTTTTCTCTCAATTTTGCTGTGAACCTAAAACTACTCTAAAAACATTAGGTCTTTAATTTCTTGAAAATCAAGATAAAATTAAAGGAGCATTGATTTTTATATCTTAAGCACAAGCATGAGATTATCAACACAAAGTTTTAGATCTTTGACCTATTGGATGGCATCCTCATTTTGTGTACATTCATTTTATTTTAAAAATACCTTTTCAAAGCCTTTGACAAAATTCGACAGCCTTTCATGCTAAAAACTCTCAATAAATTAGGTATTGATAGGACGTATCTCAGAATAATAAGAGCTACTTATGACAAACCCACAGCCAGTATCATACTGAATGGGCAAAAACTGGAAGCATTCCCTTTGAAAACTGGCACAAGACAGGGATGCCCTCTCTCACCACTCCTATTCAACATAGTGTTGGAAGTTCTGGCCAGGACAATCAGGCAGGAGAAAGAAATAATGGGTATTCGATTAGGAAAAAAGAAAGTCAAATTGTCCCTGTTTGCAGATGACATGACTGTATATTTAGAAAACCCCATTGTCTCAGCCCAAAATCTCCTTAAGCTGATAAGCAACTTCAGCAAAGTCTCAGGATACAAAATCAATGTGCAAAAATCACAAGCATTCTTATACATCAATAACAGACAGAGAGCCAAATCATGAGTGAACTCCCATTCACAATTGCTTCAAAGAGAATAAAATACCTAGGAATCCAACTTACAAGGAATGTGAAGGACCTCTTCAGCAAGAACTACAAACCACTGCTCAACGAAATAAAAGAGGACACAAATAAATGGAAGAACATTCCATGCTCATGGATAGAAAGAATTGATATCGTGAAAATGGCCATACTGCCCAAGGTAATTTACAGATTTAATGCCATCCCCATCAAGCTACCAATGACTTTCTTCACAGAATTGGAAAAAACTACTTTGAAGTTTGTATGGAACCAAAAAAGAACCCTCATTGCGAAGACAATCCTAAGCCAAAAGAACAAAGCTGGAGGCATCATGCTACCTGACTTCAAACTATACTGCAAGGCTACAGTAACCAAAACAGCATGGTACTGGTACCAAAACAGAGATGTAGACCAATGGAACAGAATAGATCCCTCAGAAATAATACCACACATCTACAACCATCTGATCTTTGACCAACCTGACAAAAAAAAGAAATGGGAAAAGGATTCCCTATTCAATAAATGGTGCTGGGAAAACTGGCTAGCCATATGCAGAAAGCTGAAACTGGATCCCTTCCTTACATCTTATACAAAAATTAATTCAAGATGGATTAAAGACTTAAATGTTAGACCTAAAACCATAAAAACCCTAGAAGAAAACCTAGGCAATACCATTCAGGATATAGGCATGGGCAAGGACTTCATATCTAAAACACCAAAGCAATGGCAACAAAAGCCAAAATTGACAAATGGGATCTAATTAAACTAAAGAGCTTCTGCACAGCAAAAAAAAAAAAAAAAAAAAAAAACAAAAAAAAAACAAAAAAAAACTACCATCAGAGTGAACAGGCAACCTACAGAATGGGAGAAAAGTTTTGCAATCTACTCATCTACAAAGGGCTAATATCCAGAATCTACAAAGAACTCAAACAAATTTACAAGAAAAAAACAACCCCATCAAAAAATTGGGCAATGGATATGAACAGACACTTCTCAAAAGAAGACATCATCACTGGCCATCAGAGAAATGCAAATCAAAACTACAATGAGATACCATCTCATGCCAGTTAGAATGGCAATCATTAAAAGTCAGGAAACAACAGGTGCTGGAGAGGATGTGGAGAAATAGGAACACTTTTTATACCTTTGGTGGGACTATAAACTGGTTCAGCCATTGTGGAAGACAGTGTGGCGACTCCTCAAGGATCTAGAACTAGAAATACCATTTGACCCAGCCATCCCATTACTGGGTATATACCCAAAAGATTATAAATCATGCTGCTATAAAGACACATGCACATGTATGTTTATTGCAGCACTATTCACAATAGCAAAGATTTGGAACCAACCCAAATGTCCATCAGTGATAGACTGGATTAAGAAAATGCGACACATATACACCATGGAATACTATGCAGCCATAAAAAAGGATGAGTTCATGTCCTTTGTAGGGACAGGGATGAAGCTGAAAATCCTTCTGAGCAAACTATTGCAGGGACAGAAAACCAAACACCACATGTTCTCACTCATAGGTGGAAATTGAACAATGAGAACACTTGGACACAGGAAGGGGAACATCACACACCAGGGCCTGTCATGGGGTGGGGGGAGGGGAGAGAAATAGCATTAGGAGATATACCTAATGTAAATGACGAGTTAATGGGTGCAGCACACCAACATGGCACATGTATACATATGTAACAAACCTGCATGTTGTGCACATGTACCCTAGAACTTAAAGTATAATAATAATAAAAAGAAATACGAAGAAGATTATATTTTAAAAAATACCTTTAAAAAAAATCAGAAATTCCCATTCTCATGGAACTTACTTCTAGCAGGATGGATGACAGAAACAATACATTTTTAAAAAGTGAAGAAAAACAAAAAATCAACACAATTGTTCCACTACAGCCAAAGATGTAAAAATAATTTGAACCTCTCTGAATTATGAATATATATTTAACAAATCTATAAGAGTACCTGCACACTTTTAGTTTTTAAAACAAGTAAGCCAATGAAAGGATATTAAATGTTTTCCCAGTGAACTGCTGAAAGCTTATTTTCTGGACAATTCAAACTTTAGAAAGCAGGTTCTGGTTTTGTGGATCAGCAGCCCTTATTAGGTGCCATGTAACAGGTGGCTCCAGGGACTCATGTCCTATAAAAATATCACATTGATGAGGTTCTAATCAGTTCAAATGTTGTCATCTTCTAGTTTGGTGCCAGTGTAGTTATTTTAAAAGTGCAAAGTTTCCATTTTTAATTGGTGTTCAGTTTGTCTCTTAAAACATTGGTTTGATTTTAAGTTAAATGCAAGTTAAAATGAACAACCTGGGCTCTGTCCTGGCATCAACAAACTTGTGCATTATTTTTATCCTGTATATTATTCTGTTGTTAGTTTAATTGCCTGACCAAGTCACAGACCTAGGTATTCCACGTGTGCATATGTTTTGCATACAATACAACCCAAGCATTGTAGCCAGAGCAGAACAAGAACCATGCGGGAGGGGGCAATGGGCTCACACTCACAGGGTACAATTCACAGTGGGGGCTGATCCTGCTCCAGGCAGCGCTGGATCTGGCCTGACTTCTCAACTGAGAAACAGCCAGTGAAGAGGGAAAACACAATACACGCAACTCCCCTGCTTCAGCTGCAAAGACTAAACCATCAGAGCTAGTCCCGAAAAACCCAAAGCCCTTCAAGTACTGCTTAGGAATCTTTCTTGAAGAACCAGCGGCCTCCCGTCCCCCCACCAGCCCTGTTCTGGGGAGCAAGGACAGGTTTGCAGTCTGAGGACTGGAATCCCCTCTCCCTGTGCCAGCACAGAAATGTGCTGCTAGCATTTGCAGAAACAAGTAAATGATGTGGTGTGTGCATCCTTAATCTCTCTTTTAATGTCTCCAACAATCTAGTGGTTAATTAGCAATTTGCTGCCCACCAATATGCAAATGAATAACAAGCAAAGGTTCTCTGCATCTGTAATTATTTTGCTGATTTACAAGCCTCTTTCCTCTCAGTGTAGGTTTTTCTGTGTGTGTGCATTCATGCATCAGGGATTTCATTATTTTTTGAAGCATAGTCTGCATTTTTATCCTTTAATACTTTCAGACTTCAGTGATCACAGTATTTTGAAAAAAAGAATATACATATATATGTGTGTGTGTATGTATGTGTGTGTGTGTGTATATATATATATATATACACACACACACACACTTCCTTCCACCCCTCAACTCCAAAGGCATTTGTCAGGGATTCTTTTCTTTGATAAAGAGTGGAGAGTAAGATTTATCAAGGGGCTGTAATCCAAATTGCAGAAAGTCAGAACGCAAGATTGAAAGATACACATTTTTGCTGCTGCCAAGTCCTTATCTGGAATCAGAGTCTAGTAATATTTTATTTTCTCCCAAGCAGCTCTGGTGAGTCGAGCCACGATCTGCGTTATCCATCTGCCTACTTTGGAGCGGGGTGTTGTACTATTTGGCGGCTTAAACGCTTTACGTTCTTGCCAGGGCATTAAGAAAGGCTCTCATGTTAAATTAAGTCAATTAATAAATGGAGACACATTAAGCAATCAATTTTGTCAGCCTATCTCCCCAGCATTAGGTATGGTTGGCTGTAATCACAAGATAAATGCAATGTGCTGATCTATGGTAATGTTCAATAATACATTCTCCGCCAGGCTCAATTCATCAGGGAGTTTCGGTAGGGAAGGCATTTGTTATTGGCTGTCTCTGCACCTCAAGGATAACATTTCTGTCCTTTTGATTGGCCGCCTCACTGCTGCAAGATTCTAACCGTCTTATTTTGATGATGAATATGAAGGCGCGCTAAGCCGGGCTGGCGCGGAGTGTCTCAGAGGCTGCGCTCCTTCCAGAGCCCAAGGACTCACAGCTTCCTCCGCTGCCTTCCCGGGCCAACAACCCCCCAAAAGTTGTGATGCTTTTCTTTACCCAGTGCTTTGGGGCTGTATTAGATCTCATTCATCTCCGATTTCAGCACTACAAAGCTAAACGGGTTTTCTCCGCTGCCGGGCAACTTGTCTGTGTCGTCAACCCCACTCACAACCTAAAGGTGAGTCTCTGTGTCATTTTATCTTCACCGGGCTCAGGTTCAAGTCGTTTCTCGGAGGCGGCAGCGACCCTCCGGCGAGCGCGTGCAGCCCTTTGCAAAGCCGGGTCGCGGGGGCTGGGACTGTGTCTGGAAGCCGGCGTGTTTGCCTCGGCTCACTCTCGCTCTCTAGGTGGCTGGGTGCTGTTAGTGACCGAGTGTTGTTTCCCCAACTGGCAGGAAAAATTGGATTGATGGTCTGGTGTCTTTCCCCGACGCTGTCAACCCGAGAGTGGCGTGGGGGGCAGAAGTGAGGGTGGTGGCGGGAACAGGGGGGCGTCCCTATCGCTCCCCCTAATATTTGTGGGCAAGTGCTCGGGAGACAGGATTTGAAGTTAGCCAAATTGCTCTCTGTCCCATGTGTTGGGAGAGGTGGTCAAACACGAGGATTTTAGACGCTACTGCGGGGTGAGGAATCCTGAAACAGGGACCTGGAGGTTGGTGGGGTTGGGGGAGGGTTATTTCTGCAAAGTGTTTGTACTTGTCCTCAGACGTGTGTGTGTGTGTGTGTGTGTGTGGTGTCGGAAGGATTTTGGCTTATTTCCTTCCTGCTGGTTAGATGCGCTCCTTGTACTGGAGCAGGATTTGCCTGGATTGTGTAATAATGTAATCAGCTCCGAGCTGCTGCCGCGGCTGCCTGGAGCTCCCTAGGCAGCTGGGTGCTGGGTTCCTCGTGGCTGCCTAGCTGCCCCGCGGCCTCTGCATTTGCACCCTCAGGTCAGTGCCCTTTTAGAGACCAGACAAAATATGGGGTCTGGCAGAGCCGCTAAACATCACAGCCAAGACTGACCGGGAAAGGAACGCTGGGCCACGGGCTAGTGGTAGGGAGGAGGGGAAGTCAGCGGAGTGGGGGCTGGGGAGACGGTGAAGCTGAACTCTCCGGATGGGAAACTCAGCACATTGCCTCTTTCCTAACATAAAAGGTGGACTCGTTGGAAGTTCCTTTCCTGTCCTCCTGTGGAAGGCAGACAGGACTGAGTGCCGGGGGGAGGGGCCATGTCTGCAGCGCCCGTGCCCGACAGTCTCTGTGAGGATAGATCTGTCCCTCTGACCACTGCTGTTGGGGAGGAAGGGCACTGCCTGTTGTCCATTACTTTATAAACTCCTACGGTCAGACTATCCTCAGCTGGAGCGCCGCAGGTCAGCGCTGATGGGTACCCCCACTCCTAGAAGTTCCGCGGAAAGACAGCTGCCTGGAGCTGCTGGGGCTACATGCCAAGGCCAGTCCTGGTGGAGGAGCGATGGACTGTCCTGGGACCCCTATGGTGCACCTGACCTAGGATCTGACGCTCTCTGGTACCCCAGCTGTGACCAATACCATCGCATGCAACTGTTCACACCTGCTCTTGCTTGCGAGCTGTTTCCTCTCATTCCACTATTTCTCTTCTTGTATAATTTAGTTTTATAAATAAGAATTCACACCAGCATCCTTGGCAAAGCAAGTAGATAGCATACACATTAAAACATAATTCTGAATTCCATTTTATGGCCACTTTTGAGACCGCATTCAAACTTCCATTATTTTGTCACTTTGCATTAGTTAGTTCCCTGGGGCAAGAAATTTTGTTTACTTCTGTTTTGTATTTTAATACCTTTAAAAATTGCTTATGAGACTTTAGCATTTCTGAAGTTTGAATTTATATGGTTCATTGACTGCAGCTGATGGTGGAGAATAGCCAGGTGTTAAGGTCTCTGTGTGGAGCCAGAGGAAACCACTTGTGTGTATTTCTCAATGATGTCTGCCTGGATATTGACAAATCATCTTGCCGCCCTGACCCAGGAGTTCAGAGTTAGGGTTGGAGGCCTTGAGTCAGCTCTGGCCAGCTGTGTGAAATTGAACCCCTCCTGCACCTCTTTGAGCCTTCCCTTCCTCACCTTTTAAAATGGGCTTATGAACATCTGCCCTTTCTCCGCCTCAGCTTTTGAGACTGAAGAGTGGTATCAGAGGTGTTTCATAACTCTCCCCTAAAAATAATGTATGTTATTGTATATATAATTTGTAGAGTTCCAATAGCAAATTCAAAAGTTGTTGCTTAACACATTCAGGCAATTTAGAAATCATATAATCAGTAACATAAAAATGGATGACATGCTTTGAGAGGCCAGGGCTCACTTTTTCACTTACACGCTTATCTGGCTTTTCATTTCCCATAAAAAAACACTTAGGGACTTTTGCTCAGAGAAACATCACCCCAGATAAAGCAAGTTGAGTGCTGCTAATGTCCCCAGGATGTGGAATGCGGCACACAGGATTTGGAGAGGGCTCCAGGTAGGGAGAGACCTGGAGGGTGCAGGTGGCCCCCATCAGGTAAGTTGTACCCCCTTCTCAAACCTAAGGGCTAATAGTCATTTGCAGAGCTTTAAAAGGACTAACTCTATAGGAGCGTCATTGCCCCACTGCTTGTATTAAAAAGCACATGTAACCTCAAAAAAAATCTCTTTCTAAACACTAATTTCCATAACAGACCACAGAAATATGCCTTGGATGTAATAAGCTGTGATCTATGTAATGAGGAGGAATGTCTTTTTAGAGGAAAAAAAAAAATTCTGTGGCAATATTAACCCAGAATAGCTATTGATCTGCCGTGCTTCCCCACACTTTGTATGACAGGCCAGTACATGAAATGGTGACCAAGGACAGAGAGACTACAACCTTGCTTTCAATTTTCTGGGTTGCGTGTAGCTACAAAGAGGGCTGGGAAGCTTGTATTTTTCTTTGTGGAAGCATTTATGTGTTTTATCCTTTCCTGGGCTTTCCTGAGAATTCGAACCAACAGCATTTTAGAACCTGAGGCAAGTGCTGAGTTATAATCAAAATTCACTTACAAAGCAAAGAAAATGGTGTATTTGCCATGCTTCTATAGGTCACCTTCATTCTCAATCTTATTATGGTGATTACTCAGTAACCTGGGATTCCTTCAAGCAAGCTGATGCCTTTCCTTCTAAATGGAAGGCAGAGCCTTCCCGGGGACATCAGATCCTCTGGTTAAAGCCACTACACCCCTGAAGCTCACCCTAATTAAAAGGGACATTTAGAGTAGCCAGCCTTGAACATAGGAGACCTCAGCTTTCAGTGAGTGCCAGGCAGTGGAGTGCAAACAAGACCTTTTCCCTCAGTCTCAGTCTCTGTCTCTGAGGACCACTTGCACAGATTAGGGTTCCAAACGGTGCCCACACTTCTTTCCACCCTGTGAAAAGTGACCGTCAAGGAGCCAGCTCTCTTGGCCGGCTGCCCTCTGCTTCCTCATTCACAGTGGTTATTGAAATGTGGCGAGCAGGCTTCAGGCTGGCGCTCATGAGGACGCCTGCTCCGGGTCCTGATTCAGCACTCCTCTCTCCCTCCTGTCCTTTGCTTGTTTCTAAACGAAGAAAGCCTTTCTCTCCTGGCTCCACTCCCACTGGCACTAGCTGCTTCTACAGTGTCCTGCCCTGGGCGGCCCTGCCTTGTTTTGCACCATCTGCAGAGGTGCCCTTTGAGGGGAGGATCGGTCAGTCCCTGTGCCCAGGTTTTTCCAGAGAAGGCTCTGTAGTGCTAGCCAGAGCCCTTCTGGCGTCGGTCATGAGCACTTCCCAAGCAGGCAGTAGCTAGGCTGAGGCTGGCTGAGTGGCTTCCTCCTCTTAACCACAGCCTTTGATAAACAAGTTTCTGAAAGAAGAATAGCAAAATGCTTTCTGGCAAAGTTCCATGAGGCCCTCTCTGATACCTCCACACTGTGCCTGCACCACCCCAGACAACCCCATTAACCTTGGGTTACAACAGAAACACACACACGAACACATGGAATGGGAGGGGCATATGGGACAATCGTGGTTTTAAGTGCCTGACAGATATGAAATCTAAAGCTAGGGCACTTCAGTACCATTTGTTGATGCATCCACGTGCCTTTCATTCTAAGACCGACCTGTGTGGATAAATGTGTATTGAGTGGCAGTGGGGAGGGTGGGAGCTGTAAGGAAGAGGAGGAGGCAGGACCAGGAAAGGAGAGATGTGAGATGTGTGCCCGCCTTTGCCATTTATGGGATAATCTTTGGAAATCCCGTGCTGCACCGGGCTTTGCTAACTCTGTTTCACACAGCACAGCAGGCGGCTGAATGAGAGGTAAAGACCTGAGCATTGTCTTTAGAGATTTAGAGGTGGCCTTTGGAGTGTTCTGCATGAATACCGACTTTAAAGCAGTTAAAGGCTTCCTACGAGATTGTTTAATAGCTGCTATGTGGGTTACTCAGTTCCTCTCCACACAGTCACCTCTGATGGTCCCATTCCCAGAGCTCTGGGCATTTCACAGTCTTCTTTCTCTGTCCAGCCTGGAGTCACTTTGCCAGAGGGGCTGGAGAAAGGGTAAGGAAGGGGACCCCAAGCTGGTGGGGGTCACTGTGCAAGCGTTATTCTAAAGGCTTTGCAGCCGGAATAACGGAAGAGGCTTTGCAGCCCCTTCCGGCCCATGGGTTTCTGTGAATATTGTATGACACTCCACTCTGTGGGCTCAGAGCAGTCGTGCGGCTTTTCTGGTTAATAGTGATTGCAAATGAGGCTCCTGAGTCACATAACGGGGAGGCCCAGAGCCCGGAGCAGTAATTTGGTTAGCCGTGTGCCAGTGATTGAGTTGTAGGGGAGGCTGAAGCTGGCGGCTGTGATGAGGTGAGCCGATTACCTCTGTACTACATTTATCCAGCAGCCTCGAAGCAAATTTGGTGGAATTCTCTTCACCGTGATCCCTCAACCTGCAGGGACTGGAAAATTAGAAAATAGATACTGAAAGCTTTCTTTGAAATCCACAGAGAGGTCTGAGTCATTTGGATGGCTTCCCTGGGGTAAGATGGATTATTTTCCTAGCAATTAACAACAAGAAAAAAAATTAACTGTCTGTGGAGATATCTTACCCTTAGCAAAGTCATCTTCATCCACTAGCTCTGTTCCTCCAAAGGGAAACAGTGACCTGGTTAGACACGAAATGTCCAGTGGA